TCCTGCCTGCTGTTACTGAGTTCCCTGTTGCTGGAACTACTCCTCCGTTACTGTTTCCACCGCCTGACTAGTCTCAGACACAGCTACTGCCTCACTCCCCACTGCCTGCTCCTGCTCCTTACACTGCGGTGACAGAGTCCCTCACTGAGAGTAGAGAGCCTGCGTCGCGTCCTGTCACGCCTGTCCGTACTCGTCGTGTTGTGCGTCCTCGTCCTCCACCTGTCCCTGGCACGCACATCATGGCACTTCATCCTTCCTCTGTTCCACAGCGTGTTGTCCTGCCGCCGCCTCCCGCGTCATCTCTTCCTCACGTTCCTGACCCTGGGTCTGACCTTGTCTGTATTGCCAGTCCGACTGTCACTCACCTTCTTGCCACGGTTGTGACTGACCCTTCCTTTGTGTCTGCTGCTGCGTCTGCCTTAGTTGCTGAGCTAGTTGACTTTGCTGCTTTGTGCCGCCTTGACTACGCTGCGAGCCTTGTTTTTTACTCTTCCTGTCCTCCGTCCGTCGGGGGTGAGCTTGCCCTTGGCTGTGACGTCCTTGAGGACAGTCAGTTTGAGCTTGAGTGTCTCGCGACCACTTTACCTCATTTCGCGTCCATGCTTCTTTGCCCTGAGGGAGACCCGGATGCACTTGACATCCCCACCCCGCGCTCTTACGGAGAGGCGATCACGGGTCCCTACTCCTCTCAGTGGCAGACACCCATGGACGCAGAGATGGCTTCCTAGAAGTCAACAGACACCTACGTCGATGAGGTTCCCCCACCTGGGGCGAACATAGTCGATGGCATGTGGATTTTCAGGGTGAAGCGGCCACCGGGTTCTCCGCCTGCCTTCAAGGCGCGTTACGTTGCACGAGACTTCACTCAGCGTGAGGGGGTCGACATCTTCCATACCTTCTCACCCACCCCGAAGATGACCACTCTTCGGGTGCTACTGCACGTTGCAGCACAGCGTGACTACGAGCTGCACTCCCTCGACTTCTCAACAGCCTTTTTGCAGGGAAGCCTTCACGAGGCTATCTGGTTGCGCCACCCACCTGGCTTCACTGGGTCGTTTCCCGAGGGTACCCAGTGGAGTCTCGGGTGGCCAGTGTACGGTCTGCGTCAGGCGCCCCGTGAGTGGCACGAGACACTGAGGACTACACTTGCGGCTCTTGGTTTCGCTCCCTCGACTGACCCTTCGTTGTTTCTGCGCACAGACACTTCTCTTGTGTACGTCGACGACTTGGTTTTTGCTACTGCTGACACTGAGGCACTGGCCCTAGTGAAGGCGGAGCTGCAGGAGAGATACACCTGCACTGACATGGGTGAGCTGCGGAGCTATCTTGGCTTGCAGATCACCCGAGACAGAGCACGGCGCACCATCACCCTGACTCTGTCACACATGGTGCAGCAGGTCCTTCAGCGCTTTGGCTTCTCTTGGTCCTCGCCACAACCCACTCCTCTGCCTACAGGCCACTCGCTCTCAGCTCCACCTTCGGACGAGTCCATGGCTGCACAGGAGCTCCGCTGGCTGACCTACCTGCTGACCGACTTGGGTGAGTAGCCTCGTTCTCCTCCAGTTCTGTACGCGACAACAAGGCCATGATTGCCTTGTGTCAGGACCAGAGACGGGAGCACAGAACGAAGCACATTGCTCTTTGTTACTTCCTCACGCGAGAGCTACAGCAGCGTGGTCAACTTCGTCTTGCTTACGTGGCCTCACAGGCCAACACTGTTGATGTCTTCACCAAGGCCCTTGGGTCTGGTGATCATCAGCATTTCTGCACTGCTCTTGGGCTTGTGCCCACTCTGCCTCACCTGCTTGTCTCTTGATCTTGCCTTGCCCTTGTTGTACACTGATATATATGAGTATACCTGCATGCTTACACTTGCTAGGTTGTGATCAGTGTACTGCTCTTGCTATTATAAACTCTGCATGTGAACTGGTCTTGTGACCACTTGCTTGTGCTCGGAGTGCGTGGTGATCTTGAGATCCACCCTGAGCTTTGCTTCTTCTCTTGACTGGTCTTGTGACCATTGCTTGCTTTGGCTATCCCCCACTTCGACTATGGGGGTGTGTCAAAACATATGTGTTTATGTTTACTTAGGCTGTAGTGGGTTTAGCCTTAGGGGGTACAAGATTACTCTCGACATTGCACTTGTACTCCCCTCTTGACATAATGCCATCATTCATTCCTAGCTTGACAGTAGCAGCACTAAAGCACCGCAGAACCTGGAAGCTGGTACCACGCTCATCAGCAAAGGAGAGAAACAATTTGAGCGGAAAATGGGTTTTCCGGATCAAAAGACTCGCGGATGGATCGGTCGACAAATAGGCTGATGGATCAGCGTGCCTAAAAGTGAATATGAGGGCCTATTACGCGGCTTCGAGCAGACACAATTTGTGGACTATGACCAGACCTTCGCACCTGTCGGCCAGCACACCTCGGTGTGCATTCTCATCTGCATCGCTATCGTCAAGCAGCGCCCACTTCGCCAAATCGACGTTTCTAACGCATTCCTATATGGGATCGTCGACGCCATCATCTACGTCGAGCACCCGCACGCCTTCGAAGAAGATGATTCCGCAGTCTGCCTCCTCCAAAAAACACTCTACTGCATCCAGCAAGCTCCATGCCTACGGCAGGAGTACCTACACACGGTACTCATTGAGCTCGGCTTCACTCAGCTGCCGCACGACCAAGGAATGTACAGGAAGGAGTCACGCGGAAAGTTCATCCTACTCGTCGGCTATGTGGACGACCTGCTCTACACCGGCAACGACACAGAGCTCCTCGGTCGCTTCGAAGAAGAAACCAAGGCAAACTCGAAGTGACGATCAACCACAACGTCACTCAGTTTGTGGGACCAAACATCACACAGTCGGCCACCTCCATTCATATCTCGGCCGCAAAATACGCCAAAACTCTCGCGAAGAAATTCGCAATCGCACCGATCAACCTCACCACTCCTTTTATGCACACCTCCTCCTAATCACGAACCAGACATCACGCCTCTCTCCACCGACGATCACCGTCTCTATCAGTAGCAGTTGGGTTGCCTGCTATTCGCCGTCGTCACATGCCGACCGGACCTCTCCTACGTTGCAAGCCAGCTCGCACAGTACCTGCGCCGACCTGAAGGGGGGAATATGCTAGACGTACGTCGGGCACTCCACTACTTTATCTCTACTCCTTACGTCGGGCTCACCTGCACGGCTAACTTTACAGCTACTCTCCAGCTAAAGGGCTACGTGGGCGCGGATCATGCAGGAGATGCAGATAACAGACGCTCTCGAACAGGATTTGTATTCCAACTTGAACCTGCCGGGCTCATCTCTTGGAACTCCTAAAAGCAGGAGCTGGTTGCTCTTTCGTCAGCCAAAGCTGAATTCATCGCCGAGGAACTGTACCTGATGGAGCTCCTGCAGGAGGCGAAAGCGACGATGAACGGGCACTTCCCGTTACTCTACGACAACTAGAGCGCGATATAAATCGGGAACAAGCCTGGCTTCGTGAATCGCACAAAGCGCATCGCACTCTGTTACTTCTTCGTCAAAGACGAGATTGACAAGGGAAAAGTCAAACTCACATACTGCCCGACTTGTGGCATGGCAACATATTTTGTGACGAAGAAACTGCCACGCCAGAAGTTTCGCGCGGACCTCTACGGGATCGTGAAGAAATCCCACGTGGCTCACCGTCAGGAATGAAGGGGAGTGTTGGAATAACCAAGGGTTAGTACACATTCCCGAAGGTTCTCCACTAGCGCATCGCTTCATAACGAGGCAACGCAGTGTACCAGTACTATGTTAGCTCGTATAGAGCACGCATGCGAAGGCCAGCAGCCACAGGAAGTCAACGGTCGCGACAGTTGACCACCCCGCAACCGTAATCAGAGGTTACGCACTGCAACGGGGTAATCGTAAAAAGGACCGCAATACGGTAGTCACTGCAACTCTAGCGATGGGTGCAAAACAGTTAATAAGGGAATGTACCCCTCAGAGTACATGGCTAGCTATGAGATTTCTATATAAACCTCTTGAAATGTTATCTTAATCATCTTGTTTCTTTTCAACTTACTATACACAAGGTCATTTATACTTCCACTGTCTGAACTCTACTTGGCTAGCATTATCTTATCCAACTCGATTCCTTCGTTATATCAACACAACCTATTGAGCACATCATGGCATGATAACGGAGCACACCAGGGAGACAAGGCACGATTGCGCCTTCCAGAGCCTCCATTGGTAGAGTCGATGCATGACAGGCCCAAGGCAATGGAGAGGCGATCCAACGGACGTGCCATTTTTGGCCCTCGGGCATGCAACATCGAGACCAGATTCCGTCAGACTGACGGCCGGAAATTGACGGAATGCAATTTCGAGGCTTTTGGAAGGAAGGGCAAAGCCCAAGACTCCAACTTCAAACGCACGGATTTGACTTCATCTGCTACTGACAGAGCCGATTGAGGTACCAGCTAGTTTTGAAATATGATGTGAAAAGTAGAACTAGGAACTTGGTGGTACGCACAAGAATCTGACAGCATCAGATGCATTGCGGCTGTCGGTCCACGGTGATGGATTTCTTGCATCGCACAGCTCGCTGATTGCTTCGCGAAGCTAGCGACTGCGTGAGCCATGGCGTCACGCCGCGAGGAGGACGACGACACGTCGCCGACGAGCTCGCTGCTATCTCCGCCGTCGCATGGCGAAGTTAACGGATTCAACGCGCCCAGTGATCCCGGTGACTTCTTCGAGGAGCTCGAGCGCGATCTCGATTTCACCGAACCACCATTGTCGGCACGCGCGGGTGCAACCTCGGGGGCAGGTTCGGCATCCGGTTTGGGAGGCTTCGCAGAGTATTTGGGCGACAAGGAAGGCGACGATTTCTGGAGCTCCTTGAGCGACGGATCGCCCCGCGGTCGACACGAGACGGACAGGGATGCCCCGGGAACGGTTCACGCTGGTCCTGCCGTGCAAGGGATGACGTCGGGTTACCAGCAACGTGACGAAATGGAAGCGAAATTGGGACGGTTACTGCGAATGGATCAGGGCCAGGAGCTCCCGCCGGGAGCCAGCATTCGCGACATGGGGAGTGTCGACAGCCGCCCTGTCACTTCCAAGCACTCGCACGTTCTTGACGCGGCGCCGCACCAGCCGGCCTCCATGCACTCCCACGCCCGCACCGCGGAAGACATCGGCGGGCTCGCGAGCGGCGCCAGCAACAGCGTGCGAGGCCCGTTCGCGAACGGCCATCGCCACGGGGACGACGACGGCGAGCGGCAAAGTAACATGGGTTTCGCGATCGATGGCGAAGTGAGCAGCCCGTGGGTGCAGGGGTCCGGCGAAGGGCGGGAGGGGTGGGCTGGCGGGGAGACGAGCCGGTTGCGCGCGGAGCTGGACGCGGTGGACGCGGAGCGGCGGAGGCTGGCGGGCGAGCGGGACGAGGCGCTGGCTGGGCTGGCGGAGGAGCGGCGTCGGAGCGAGGCGTGGATGGGCAGGGCGCGGGACGCGGAGGCGGAGCGAGTCGCCGCCGACGCCAAGCTGGACGAGTGGACCCGTGGTCTCCAACGGTCGAGTGCAGTACAGAGCGGTGACGGACTCGAGAGTGGCTCAAACGAGGCGTCGGCAGCAGCAGCGGGGAAGCGAGCGGGGGGTGGGGAGGACATGGTGAGGGTGTTAGAGGACGTAGTGGCGCACAAGACGCGCATGGTCGCCCGCGAGCGAGGCAAGCGCGACGAGGCGGTGTGCCGGCGGGAGGAGGCGGAAGGCAAGCTCGCCGCCGCTGACAAGGAGCTGAGGGCGCTGCGACGACAGATGGATTCCCTGCGATCTGGTTACCAGCAGGTGGCGGAACGGAAAGAGGAGCTGGAGGCGCGAGTGGGCAGCCTGGAGGAGGAGGTGGAGCGGGTGAGCGCGGAGGAGAGGGAGGCGAAGGAGGTGGTGGAGGGCGCCATGCAGATGTGGCGCGACGCCAGTGACGGCAAGCAGCTGGCGCAGGCACAGGCGGCGGAGCTGCAGGAGCAGGTGGAGCGGCTGCGGGGCGCGCTGGCCGAGGAGGCGGAGAAGGTGAGGCAGGCGCGGCAGGAGGCGGTCATGCAGGCGGAGGCGAGCAAGCAGGCGCTGGCGCGGGTGAGGGAGGTGCATTCGGGGGAGGGCGTACCTGAGGCGAAGTGGCTGGTGGAGTTGAAGGTGGAGGTGGAGCAGCGGCGCGTGGAGGTGCAGCAGGCGCAGCAGCAGGCGGCGTGGGAGCGCGAGAGGGCGGAGGCGGCGGAGAGGGCGATGGAGGAGGAGCGGCAGCAGTGGGCGCGGCGGGAGAGGCGGCTGGAGGAGGACGTGATGAACCAGCAGCTGCAGATCGAGTTCCTCGAGGGGCTGCACGCGGGCGCGGGGGCAGCAGGCAGCCTGGCGGATGGGTCTGGTGGCGGGGCGAGCCTGGAGAAGCGTGTGTGGGAGCTGGAAGCGGAGGTGAGGGAGCGCAGCAAGGAGGTGACGTCACTGCAGGAGTCGCTGGTGGAGGTGGAGCGGGAGAAGGCACACGTGGTGGAGCGCCAGCACTCGCTGCTGGCCGCCCTTGCGGGGGGTGACAGCGGGGCCGTGCTGACCCAGCTGCACACGGACGCCATGCAGCTGTCCTCGCGCGTGAAGGAGGCGCAGGGCGAGCTGGCGCAGCGGGCGGAGGACTGGCGCGCGCTGGAGGGGGAGCTGCGGGGCAGGCTGGCGGACAAGGAGAGAGAGCTGCGGTTCCGTCTGAACCAGCTGCACGAGGGGGAGGAGGCGCAGTGGCGCGCGGAGGCGCAGGTGGAGGCGGAGAGGGCGGAGAAGGAGGCGCTGAGGCGGGAGGTGAGTCGCCTGCTGCTGCTGGGCAGCGATGCGGGCAGTGCTGTGGGCGCGGACGGCCATGCGGGGCGAGTGGGGGGAGAGAACGCGGGGGCAGGCGGGACGAAGGAAGGCGGTGATGAGGGGAGTGAGGAGCGGGTGAGGCAGGCGAGGGAGGAGGCGGGCATGTGGGGCAGCAAGGTGGCGGAGCTGGAGGGCGAGATAGAGTGGCGCGACGCTGAGATCAGCGCGCTGAGGGGCGCCCTGGACGACAGCAGCAAGGCCGTGGCCGTGGCGGAGAGGGCAGCCGCGGGCAAGGAGAGAGAGGTGCAGCGGCTGACAGCCGAGGTGCGGGAGAAGGGGCGCGAGGTGTGGGACTTGATTCACGAGTCGGAGCTTAAGGCGAGGCAGATGGATGCTGTGGAGCGGGAGGCGAGCCGGCGCGCGGGCGAGCTGGAGGACGCTCAGGGCGACCTGGCGATGGTGGAGAGGGAGGCGGAGCTGCTGCGCGGAATGGTGAAGGAGCGGGAAGACGTGATTGACGCGGTCAAGGCGCAGCTGGCGGAGCGGGACGGCGAGCTGGCGAGGCTGGGCGCTGAGGCGCAGGCGATGCGGGCGGACGCGGAGGAGACGGTGCGGCGGCTGAAGGAGGAGGTGGAGGAGGCGAGAGAGCAGGTGGGGCGGGGCGAGGTGCAGCTGTTGGAGGAAGAAGGGCAGCGGATCTTGGAGTTTGAAGAGCTGCAGGTGGAGCACACGATGGTGGTGCGGCAGCTGCGAGAGGTGCAGCGCGAGGTGGAGGAGAAGGAGGCGCTGCTAAGAGGCAAGGAGGAGGAGGTGCGGGAGAGGGAGCAGGCGGAGCGGGAGAAGGAGCAGGAGTTGCTGGAGGCGCTGGTGGAGGCGGAGGAGGTGAAGAAACGCGTGGCTGAGGAGGTGGGGGGGGCTGTGCAGGCAAGGGAGCGCGCGGAGGCGGAGGCTGCGCGGGCGCAGGGGGAGATTGGGGTGATTCGGGAGGAGCTGGAGAGCACGAGGGAGGCTCTGAGGTGCCGGGAGAGCGAGATGGAGGAGAGGGAGAGGGAGGTGGAGGAGGAGAGGCGAGTGAGGGAGGCGGTGGAGAGGGAGAGGGTGGCGCTAGAGCAGGAGGTGCGGGTGGTGAGGGCGCGGACGGATGAGGTGGAGGAGGCGCTGAGGCGAGTGAGTGAGGAGAAGGGGAGGGTGGAGCATGCGAGGGAGGTGGCTGAGAGGGAGAGGAGGATGGAGGAGGAGCGGGATGCTGTTGAGAGGGCGAGGGGTGAGGAGGAGGACACCAGGAGGAGGGCTGAAAGTGCAGTGCAGGAGCTGCAGGAGGCGAAGGAGAAGGTGGAAGGGGAGAGAAGAAGGGTAGATGACGAGAGAGCAGCGCTGGAGGTGCGGCTGCAGGGGCTTCAAGGGCAGGTGGAGCAGCTGAGAGGGCAGGTGGAAGAACTGTCCGGGCAGGTGAAGGAGCGAGAGGCGGAGTTGGCAGAGAAGGTGAGGATGGTGGAGGCGGCAGAGGGGAGGAGAGGCGAGGTGGAGCAACGCGTGGTTGATTTGAAAGCTGAGCTGGCAGCGCTGGGAGGGACGCTGAAGGAGATAGAGGCGGCGGTGGAGGTGAAAGAAAGGGCGCTGGCGGCAGCAGAGGAGGAGAAGAGCCGAGCACAGCAGCAGGTGCAAGAGCAGAGAGAGCAGCGGGAGGCGCTGGAGAAGCAGCACGCGCAGCTGGAGGGACTGCTGGCGGGGCTCAGGGCAAGCTGCCGTGCGCTGGAGGAGGGAGGCGCGATGGAGAAGGAGAGGCGCGAGCAGGCGGAGGAGGACCTGGAGACTGAGAGGCAGGCGCGGCGGAGGGAGAAGGAGGGACTTGAGGAGAGGATTGGCGAGCTGGTGAGGCGGGTGGAGGGAGAGGAGGCGCAGGTGAGGGAGGTGAAAGGGAGGCTGGAGGAGGTGATTGGGGCGAAGGAGGGGCTGGCGAGGGACGTGGAGGAGGCTAGGGCGCGAGAAGAGAAGCTGAGGAAGGAGGTTGGGGAGAAAGAGGAGAGGAGGAGGAAGGCGGAGGTGTTGGTTGTGCAGCTGCAGGAGCAAGTGGCGGCTGTGGGGTGCGAACTTGAGAGGGTGAAGGCTGGGCTGGAAGAGACTGAGAGACGAGTGGAGGAGGCGAATGAGGCGAGAAATAAAGAGGGTGAGGAGAGGGCGAGGGTGGAGGCTGATTTGGAAACGGAGAGGGAGAGATTGGAGGCAGCACGGAGTGAACTGGCGGCAGAGATGAGTGCGTTGGAGCGTGTGAGAGAGGAGGTGGCAGAGGAGCAGCGGAGGAGGGAGGAGGCGGAGCAGCGGAGCAGCATGTTGGGCGAGCAGGTGCAGCGGCTGCAGCAGCAGGTGGTGGTGGCGGGCAGGCAGCGGGAGGAGCAGGAGGAGGAGATGGCTGTGAGGGACACTCTGGTGCAGAGCCTCCGAGAGGAGCTGGAGGGCGAGCGGACGAGGGTGGCGGAGGGTGAGGCGAGGGCGAGGGAGCTGGAGGAGAGCGAGAGGGGGCTGAGAGAGGCGTTGGAAGGCGAGGAGGGCAGGCGGAGGGAGGCGGAGGAGAGCGTGGAGAGGGAGAGAGGTGCTGTGAGTGAACTGGAGGGGCGGGTGGGTGAGCTGGAGGCGGAGAGGAGAGAGGTGGAAGCATCGTTGGAAGGGGAGAGGCAGGCGAGGGAGGAGGAGGAAGCGAGGGTGAAGGAGGTGAGGGGGCAGAGGGACGAGGTGGAGAGGGAGTTGAAGAGGGTGAGGGAGGAGCTGAGAGCGGTGCAGGAGGAGAAGGCAGCAGTGAGTGCTCAGTGCGAGAAGGTACAGGAGGAGCTCGGCTGTGCTCGGAATGAGCTCGCCTCCGCTCAGAAAAGGCTGGAAGAGGCAGAGATGGCGGCGGAGAGAGCGAGGGAGACACACAGCAAGGCCACGGCTGCTGCAGAAGCTGCCAGGAAGGCTGCAGAGGAGAAAGCGGCTGCGCTGAAAGCAGAGATAGAGGCCATGCGAGGTACGGTTGAGGAGAAGGAGCGAGAGATAGCTGCCCTCACTGCAGCGAGTGCTGGCACCACGCGGCTGCTGGAGGCGTTCAAGCGCAAGGTGCAGACGCTGGAGGGCGAGGTGGCTGCCAAGGCGGGCGAGGCTGAGGCGGCCAGGGCGGACGCGGAGCAGCAGAGGGACGCGGGTGCTGCGCTGGCGAGGCAGCTGGCGGAGGTGCGGGCGGTGCGTGTGAAGCTGGAGGAGCGGGTTGGCGCCCAGGAGCGCGCGCTGGAGGGGAGGGCGGCGGACGTGGAGGGGCTGAAGCGGGAGAAGCAGCGGGTGGGGGAGCACCTGGTGCGGACGCAGGAGGAGAAGGAGCGCGCTCTGAGTGAGGCTGCGGCGTTTAGGCGGGAAGGGGAGGAGCTGAGGGAGCAGGTGGGCGTGTGGAAGGAGAGGGAGCGGGTGGCCGTGGTGCAGTTGAAGGAGGAGCGGGAGGCGAGGAGGGAGGTGGAGAAGGAGAGGGAGATGCTGAGGGTTGAGGCGGAGGATGGGTCAGAGATGGCCGTGGGGCTGAAGCTACGGGTGGGTGAGCTGGAGGATGCTGCTGGGAAGCTGCGGGAGAAGGTGGAGGAGAGGGAGAGGCAGGTGCGGGAGGTGCAGGAGCAGCTGCGAGGAGCGGTGCAGGAGATAGAGAATCTGCAGGAGAGCATTGGGCGGAGGGAGGAGGAGGTGGAGGAGGAGAGGAAGGCGAGGCGACGCGTGGAGGGAGAGGCGGACGCGGTGAGGCAGCAGGTGAGAGGTCTGACCGCAGAGGTGGAGCAGAGGGCGCAGCAGGTGGAGGCGCTGAGAGGGGAGGTGGCAACATTGGAAGAGCGGCTTGCAGGCAAGGAGAGAGAGGCAGGTGAGCTGGTGGAGTCAGTGACAAGAGCGAAGAGGCATGCTGAAGAAGAGAGGGAGGAGCGAGAGAGAATGCTGCAGGAGACGAGGGGAGAGGTGGAGAGAAAGGTGGAGGAAGTGAGGCGAGAGAAGGAGGAGGTGGTGGCACGGATGGTGGCTGACGTGGAGCGAGTGTCCAGTGAGCTGGAGACACAGAGAGGGGAGGTACTGAGGCTGGAGAAGAGTGGGAAGAAGGCGGAGGAGAGACGACAGGAGGCGGAGGGGAGAGTGAGGCAGGTGGAGGGCGAGGTGCAGCAGGCGGTGGAGGGCCGGGCAGCAGCGGTGGCTGAGAGAGACGCACTGCAGGTGGCGCTGGGGCAGGCGGAGGAGGCTGGCGCGCGGCTGAGGGGCGAGGTGGAGGCGAGCAGGGCGGAGCAGCAGAAGCTGCAGGCGCAGGTGGAGCAGGAGAGGGCGCAGGTGGAGAGGCTGCAGCAGGAGAGGGCGCAGGTGGTGGCACGAGTGGCGGTGCTTGAAAAGCAACTGGCGGCAGAAGGCGAGGCTAGTGGCGCGCTGCAGGAGGAGGTGCGGCGGCTTGTGGGGCTGTACGAGGAGGCGAGCGCTGAGGCAGCGAGCGAGCACGCTGAGAGGGAAGAGGCGGCGCTGATGCTGGAGGGCGAGCGGGCAGCGGCGGAGCAGGAGAGGGCGCGGCTGCAGGGCGAGGTGGACGCGATGGGCGTGGAGATCGAGGAGGTGAGGCGGCTGTTCGAGGAGGCTCGGGATGAGGCGGAGGAGGAGCGGGCAAAAGGGGCGAGCATGGAGGAGGAGGTGAAGCAGGCCGTGGGGGAGAGCAGACGGATGGCGGAGGAGGTGAGGCGCGCGGAGGAGGAGCGGGCGGAGGTGGTGGGGGAGGTGGAGGCGATGAGGGCGACGATAGAGGAGCTGCAGCAGGGCGTGGAGGCGGCTGTGGAGGCCGTCATGCTGCAGCGCGCGCAGGGGGCGAATGCAGAGGAGGAGGTGCAGAGGGAGCGCACGGGGAGGGAGGAGGCGGAGCGGCGGGTGGAGGAGCTGGAGAAGGCGGTGGGGGAGCTGGTGGCGCAGGTGGAGGCGAGCGTGCGGGCAGTGGGGGCGGCAGAGGAGGAGAGGCGAGCGAAGGAGGGTGAGTGGGCGGAGGAGGTGCGGAGAGCAGAGGCAGAGGCGGAGGCGTTGAGGGGGAGGGTGAGGAAGGAGGAGGAGGAGGTGGTGGCATTGCGACGGGAGCGAGAGGCCATGGTGGAGGGGCACGATGGGGAGGTGCGCGCGCTGAGAGAGAGGAGCAGGCGGCAGGAGGAGGAGGTGGTGCGAGTGCGGGGGGAGCTGGAGGAGGCGCAGAGGAGAGTGAGGGAGGAGGCGGGGAAGGCAACGAGGGCGCAGGCAGAAGCGGGGGAGGTGCAGGCGATGGTGGCGGAGATGCAGAGAGGGCTGTCGGAGCTGGCGGGGCAGCTGGGGGAGATGACTCTCGAGGTGGAGCGACAGAGGGCCGCCAAGGAGGAGGCTGTGAGGGAGGCGGAGAGGCTGCAGGTGGAGCATGAGAGGCAAGTGGAGGAGCTGAGTGCGGTTGTGAGGGATGCGGAGGGGCGAGTGGAGCAGGTGAGGAGGGAGAAGGAGGAGGGCGATGCTGTGTGGAGCAGCAAGGTTGCGGCGTTGAGAGAAAGGATGGAAGGAGCGGTGGCAGGGGGGATACAGGCGGAGAAGGAGGTGAGAGAGGCGAGGGACGTGGTGATGCGGGAGAGGGAGAGGGCGGAGGAGGCAGAGGCGGAGGCGGAGAGGCTGGAGGACGTGCTGAGTAAGATGGAGGAGGAGCAGGTGGTGGCGAGGAAAGATCGGACTAACGTTGCCAGGCTGGCAGAGCATGTGCAGGCACGCATTGCTGAGCTGGAAGCTGAGCTGGAGGAGTCCCACGCTGAGCTGGAACAAGCCCATGCTGAGCTGGAGCAGAAACGTGCTGATCTGGAGGAGAGTGCCGCCACGCTGAAGGTGGTGATGGGCGATGCAGAGCGGTTGAAGGAGGTGGTGAGGGTGCAGGAAGAAGCAGCAGCAAGGGAGGTGGCGGGAGCGAAGGGAGATGCGGCCAAGACAGCAGCGAGTGTGAGGCAGCTGCAGGGGGAGGTGGCTCAGCTGCAGGCCTCCGTGCAGGAGAAAGACGAATCCGTGGAGATGCTTATAAAGGAGACGGCACAGCTGAGGCGAGCGGTGAGGCAGAAGGAGGCGGAGTGCCGACAGACAGCTGAGGCAGCAGCGGCGGAGCTGCAGCACATGGCGGCCCAGGCAGAGGCGCTGCAGGGGCGGTTGCAGGCGAGTGTGGAGGAGGCGAGGGCAGAGAGGGAGGAGAGAGAGCGAGCGGTGAAGCGACTTGGGGAGGACATTGAGGCGCTGAGGGAGGCGGTGAGGGAGAGGGAGGGCGAGGAGAAGCGCGCCAAGGCGGCCCTGCAGGCGGCTCTGGAGGGGATGAGCCGGGAGAATGCAGTGGAGAGGGAGGAGGCGCAGCGGCGCATGGAGGTGGAAGTGACGCTGGCAGAGGCGCAGGCGGATTTGAGTGAGGCGCGGCGACGCGTGGTGGAGTATGAAACGGCTCTGGCGCTGGCAGCCGCTGAGGTGGAGGAGGAGAGGAGGCGGCGGGAGAGGGAGGTGAGGGAGGTGAGGGAGGAGGGTGAGGGGTTGAGGGAGGCTGTGAGAGGGAAGGAGGGTGAGGTGAGGGCGGAGAGGGAGGCGCGGGAGAGGGAGAGGCGGGAGATGGAGGAGGAGAGGCTGGTGTGGGAGAGGGAGAGGGAGCGGGTGGGGGAGACCGGGGAGAAGGAAAGGGAGGCGAGGGGGAGGAGGGAGAGGGAGCTTCGGGCGGAGATGGAGGAGAGGGAGATTGCGCTGTTGGAGCAGATGGAGGAGGTGCAGCAGACGTGGCGGCGCAAGCTGGAGCTGCAGACCAAGGAGTGGCACGCGGAGAAGGCCGCTTTGGACCAACTTATGGTGGCTGAGATAGCGGCGATTAGGAAGGAGAGGGGGCGCATGGAGGAGCGCGAGAAGGTGTGGCGCGGCGAGGAGGCTGCTTGGCGGGCGAATGAGGAGACGTGGCGGCGGAAGGAGGAGCAGTGGGCGGAGAGGGAGAGGGAGATGGAGGAGGAGAGGGAGGAGATGGCTGGGAGGGAGGAGCGGGTTAGGGAGGAGCAGGAGGAGGAGTGGAGGAGGAAGGAGAAAGAGTGGGTGAGGAGGGAGGTTAAAATGGAGGAGGCATGGGAGGCAGAGAAGGAAGGGTGGGCGAGGGAGAGGAGGGCGTGGGAGGAGGGGAAGGCGGAGTGGGAGGAGAAGGAAAGGAGACTGCGAGAGTTGGAAGAGGAGATGGGAGAGGTGAGGAGGAAGATGGAGGCTGCCACTGCTGCTGCAGAGGCGGCAGCGGCTCAGGTGGTTGAAGCAAAGGCTGCTGCTGCTGCCGCCACTGAAGAGGCAGCTAAAGCTGCTGCGCAGGCTGCTGCTGCTCATGCTTCTGCTGCAAGCAGAGCTGGAGCAACTGCTGCAGGGACAAGCGGAACGGATGGGGCTGAAGGAGAGGAGGGAGGAAAAGGGCCGGAGGAGGGAGCAAGCAGGCAGGAGGAGGGGCAGAAGAAGAAGAAAAAGAAGAAGGCAGGGGGGGCAGGAGGAGGCGTGTCGGACGGTGCTGATGGTGGCAGCAGCAGCGGGGGCGGTGGGGGCAAGAAGGTGGTGCTGGGCGCGGAGGAGCTGAGGAAGCTGGAGGAGTACATTGGGGAGATGGAGGGCAAGTGCGCTCGCATGCAGGTGAGGGCAAGTGCGCTCGCATGCAGGTGAGGGCGCATGCAGGTGAGGGCACGTGCTGCTGAGGTGCAGGCGAATGCGCTTGCAAGTCCGTCCCCCCCATCTCCCCGCGCTCGCCTCACCCCCTCCCCTTCCTGTTGCCCCTCGCTCCCGTCCCTTCCCCTGCCATCTCATCACTGGGCGGGCGGGGCTGGCAGCGAAGGCGTTGGAGGCTGATGGGTTGAGGCGGAGGTGCAGGGGGTGGTGAGGCAGCCTCTGTGCTCTTCTCTTCTCACCTCCCTTTCCTCACTCCCTCCCCCCCCTGCCATCTCACCACGCGGGGCTAGCAGCGGAGTCGAATGGACTGAGGCGGACGTGGAGGGGGTGGTGGGCTGGCTCTCTTCCTCAGACAGGGCCTGTGCTCGCCTCTTGCCCCCTCCTTTCCCCTCATTCCCCTACCCTCCCGTGCTCTCCCCCCACATGACCCTCCCCCCTCCCCACCAGGCGGGGCTGGCAGCAAAGGCGGCGGAGGCGGAGGGGGTGAGGGCGGAGGTGGAGGGGGTGGTGAGGCGCATGGACGAGGAGAGGGCTGCCAGGGACGCTGCTCTCGCCACCCTCATGGCTGGTGCCCACGGGTGAGAGCGGTTGGGATGGGTGAGAGCGGTTGGGATGGGTGAGAGCGGTTGGGATGGGTGGGCATGGGTGGTGCGGGGCTGTAGGTGAGTTGGAGAAGGGTGGGGTTTGGTGGGTATGTATGGCCTGAGGGCATGGCTGGGATGGGAGCTTGCGTGGCGGCTCACTTCCTTCTTCTCGCTCCACGGGTGTGGGTGTGTGAGTGGCCCTCCCTTCCTTGCTCGTTTCCCACTCCCTCTTGTCGTTTCCCACTCCCTCTTGTCGTTTCCCACTCCCTCTTGTCGTTTTCCTCTCCCAGCAACCGCCCTCCCATCTCTTCACTTCGCCTTTCCCCTCCCAGGATGCAGCAGCAGCGGAGCGCCGTGACTACATCCCTGGCAGGGCGTGCTGCTGAGAGCCAATCTCACTGCTTGCCCTGCTGTATGTGTCCACCCCCCCCCCCCCCCCTCCCTCTCCCCTTTTCCTTACCCCCTCAGCTCCCCGCAAGACACAGCAGCAGCATCACGGGCATTCTCGCAGCACAGTGGGGAGATGGCAGCGCTGGCACAGCGGGCCCGGGAGGCAGGCGTGCAGGCAGCAGTGCTGGCAGGCCAGGGTGGGGAGGGCGCGGGCAAGGGCGTTGCTGGGGGCGCGGGGGCAGCGGGGGCGCTGGCGATTGTGGCGGCTCCTGGTGCTGGGAGCGCTGTGATGAGTGCTGATGGCGACAGGTGAGGGGCGGAGGGTAAAGGATGGAGGGAAGGGTGAAGGGGGGAGAGAATAGAGGGCAGAGAGGAGTTTATAGAGGATGGGGAAGGGTAAGTGGATAGTTCAGGCGACAAGGTACGGTAAGGGGGGTAGGGAAGGGTCAAGGGAAAAGTGGAGGGCTAATGCCATATTTGCCAGCCTTGTATCGCGCCTGCCACTCTACAGAGTTCATCTCACTCTATCTCTTCCCCACCTCCATGTGCCCCCCCACCACTCGCTCTCTCTTCGTGGGGATCCATGGGATTCGTTTGGTGCGCCTTTTCAGTCAACTCATGGGTCACCTTCTCCCCCCCTTCTCCCTCCGCACGACCTCACTCTATCGCTCTCCACGGCCTCTATCGGGGCGGCTGTTGAGTCCACTCATGACTCGCCTTCCTTCCCCACCCCCTTCTCCCCCCTACTCCCACCCCCCCGTTTCCCCCCTCACCCCCAGCCGATCGCTCTCTGCAGCCTCCATGGGGTCAATGGGCTCCTACTGGGGCGGCGCCTCTGCGGGCCCACCGCAGCCCACGCTGGTGGGAGGGGGCGGGTGGGGGGGGGTGCGGCGGCAGCAGAAGTGGATGGTGGACGGCTCCTGGGTGGAGAGCATGCGCCGGGTGAGTGGGGAGCGGTGGAGTGGGGTGGAATGGGGTGGGCTGGGGTGTTGGCTGGATGGACTGGGATGGAGTGGTATGGGGAGGGGTGGCGAGACATGGCATGTCATTGGATGAGAACAGGAATGGGATGGGATGCGATGCGATGAGATGGGATGGGATGGAAGAAGCAGAGTATTGGACTGGCACCATATGCATGCATTCCCCCCATGCCATTCTACCCTTGTGTGCAATCACTGTTTAACATGCATGCTACCATCCGTGATCGCACTTATTGCGTTCCTTTCAAATAATATGCCATCAAACCATCACACCACGACCCCACGATGCCACCATGCCATGTGGCATCAGGAGCATGCGGAGATGCGCAGGAAGCTGGAGGAGGAGAGGCAGCGGTCGGCAGCACTGGAGCAGGTGAGAGCCGTGCTGCATGCAGCCTTGGAGGTGAGAGCCGTGCTGCATGCAGCCTTGGAGGTGAGAGCCGTGCTGCATGCAGCCTTGGAGGTGAGAGCCGTGCTGCATGCAGCCTTGGAGGTGAGAGCCGTGCTGCATGCAGCCTTGGAGGTGAGAGCCGTGCTGCATGCAGCCTTGGAGGTGAGAGCCGTGCTGCATGCAGCCTTGGAGGTGAGAGCCGTGCTGCATGCAGCCTTGGAGGTGAGAGCCGTGCTGCATGCAGCCTTGGAGGTGAGAGCCGTGCTGCATGCAGCCTTGGAGGTGAGAGCCGTGCTGCATGCAGCCTTGCCCGCATGTAATGCAGCCATGCCGTTTCTGCTTACCTCCCGCGACTTCTCCCCCTGGCATTGCAGTTTTTCTTCTCGTAACTCATTCCCACCCCTCACCATGTCCCCACCCCTCACTGCATCCCCACCCCCCACTTCATTGCCAGCCATACACCATGTCATCCTTTCACCTGCACACAACTCATCCCTCCCCCGGCCTTCACATCTCAGCCCTCAGCTGGCCCCTGCGATCTCACTCCTCCTCCGACCCTTCACATCTCATCTCTCCCCCCCCCCCTTCACATCTCATCTCTCCCCCCCCCCTCACAACTCACCCCGGCCCCCACAGATGTACCCGTTCACGTCTTACCTCTCTCCTCCCTGCCTCTGCCCGCAGGTGCAAGCGGAGAACGTGTGGATGGAGGCGGCGCTGGTGCAGCTGCTGGAGTCGCGCAAGCGCTACGAGGGGGAGATTGCGCACCTCATCACCAAGGTCCGTTGGGTTTCAGGCTGAACAAAGCAAGCACCTTTCCTCTTGACTGGATGCAACCGTCGCTGCCACGTGTAGCCAAGGCATCCAAGTGGTGAGCCATCTCCCCTGGGTTCGGGGAAGCGCCACGAGGGGGAGATGGCGCACCTCGTCACCAAGGTGGGTTGGAAGTCGGAACTGGAGAAAGCAAAAACCCTTTCTTGTTTGCTAGGTGTAGCAGTCACATTCTCTTGCAGTCAACGGCACTCAAATGATGTTCACCCCTGAAGTGCTTCACCGGATTTCAAAGGTTCTTTGCTCTGCAGCTCATGTGTTTTGATTTTTTTTTTTCCTACCCTTGAAAACTAGACTCGAAACGCACTTGGGTTGCCATAATTGCTCACCACGTTTGTCAAAGTAACTTCTCTTCCTCCCTACCTTGACAGGAGTGTCGTGTCATGTTGTCCGCCCTCTGCTCTTGCTCCTTGTCATCTTTGCGTTCTTCCTCCCATCACAAATGCATCCTTCCCTGCCACGTGTCTCACTGCAACAGGTGGCTCATCTGGAGGCCAGTGCAGCGGCCAGCTGACACTCCCATTGCATGGCTCCACTAACACTCACTCTCACAGGTACGTGCCACACTCACGTTTTCTCTGGCGGTAGTTAGGTATCACACCTGCTCACTGTTTCTCACTTCCTCTCCCCGTCTATTATTGCTAATCCCTCTGGCGGTGTAGGTTCATGACATACTTCTCATCACTTTGCTGCATCGTGCTGCATCCCCAACGGTTCCTGTGGCAGATACAGGAGCTATACTCCAACATGCGGGCTGAGTCAGTTTTCGCTTTGCCTCTCACGTGTTTCTCATGGCACCTTTTGTATCAATCAGTTGATTAAATGCTGTTTGTATATTTTATGAGGACAGGTTCTGGGCAGTTTAGCCAGTTCTATTTTGTGTGCTTCTTTGTAATGAGTCTGTTTGTCCTGTGCTTCTGCACCCTGCACCTGCATTTCTCACAGCAAAGCAACTTCACATCAAATGGATACTTGTTTGTAGTACGGTAGGCGCAGGGCTCTTGCTAGGATTCAGGCCCGTCTGACATCCCCCCCAAAAAAAATCGTTTCGTCTGACCTTCAGACGGGCAAAAAATTTTGGTCTGTTTTTTCAGATGAAAGTTGGAGCTATGTCTGTTTTTTAAGACGATTTTTGTTGCATGGTCTGATTGCACTCTACACTGGCCGGCCATAATACGGTAGAAATCTGAGTTCACTAAGTACGAAATGAATAAGTCGCTGACTAACATGACAGGCGTGACCAACCAGGTGGCGAGGGGGACTGGTACAGGGGGAGGACCGTGTTCTGTTGAATTTGTGCGACGACCAGGGGGAAGGAACTGGGGCTGGGAGAGGATCGAGGGACTGGGGGAGAGTTGGGGGGGGGGGGGGGTGTTGACTGGTAGAGGAGCGAGGTTGACTGCGGGGGGGCTGGGCTGCTAGAGGAGCGAGGGACTTCGGGGAGGCTCCTGGTACTGTACAGTCGAGGAACGAGAGACTGGGGGGTGGGTGGGGGTTTGCAGGAGGGGTGAGGGACTCGAGGGGGCAGGGGGGGAGGAGACGGGAGGGGAAAAGAAGGGTGGGGGGGGGGGGAGGGTACCTCGATACTTTGTCGGTATCAGATGAAAGCATACTCGATGTCTGAAATGTCAGACAAAATATAACGCGCTGTCTTATTTTTAAGACGAAATAAAATCCTCTGTCTTATGGTTCAGATGAAATTAAATTGCTGGTCTTGAAAATCATATGAAACGGAAAAAGTAGGTCTGTTTTTCAGACCATCAGACCGATTTGGTCTGATAACCAGATGTCAGAACACGCTCTTAACTCTTGACTTAGTAACTTAGAGTTTACCTAGGAAGCGTGAGTGTCGAGAGTGAGCATGGCAAGAGAATTGGGCAAAGAGGGTCATTCACTAAGGAATGTTTACAAGATATAGGATAGGGGAGAGGATAGGGTACACCACCAGCAGTTGAACCTAATAACTAACTAATACACTAGCAAGCTGTAGGCAGTTAGGATATGCAATATAATTCAACACACCCCCGTAACTGCCTACGGCTATAGCTAGTGGTGTCTGGCACCAGGTCGCCTGGAGAGCGGTTGCTGTAGCTGGGATATGCACAGAAACAGCGGTGGCTGACCGGCAGCACCTGTGAACGCCAGAACGGAGGAGGGCGCGGAGAGCGCGGAGGAGGGCTGGGATAGCCGGAGGGCGAAGGATGCTGGTCGCTCGCCATCTACGAGCAAACACAACTGTTGGTGAGGAGGAGGAAGCTGGTGGTGGTGCACAGGAGGAGAGCAGAGGAGAGGCGGCTGGAGGAGAGGAGAGAGGAGGAGGAGATGCAGCTGTAGGAGAGGAGAGTGGAGGAGGAGATGCGGCTGGAGGAGAGGAGAGGAGAGAGGAGGAGGAGATGCGGCTGGAGGAGAGGAGGAGAGGAGAGGAGAGGAGAGGAGAAGAGGAGAGGAGAGGAGAGGAGAGGAGAGGAGAGGAGAGGAGAGGAGAGGAGAGGAGAGGAGAGGAGAGGAGAGGAGAGGAGGTGGCTGGCGCGGCAGAAGCTCTCCCGCCACCCCCTCATCCCCCTCCCCCCCATGCGCTGGCGCTGGCGGAAGTGCTGGCGCTGGGCGCTGGCGTCGCGCTGGCGCTGGCGCGCGCCGTTGGCGTTGGCGCTGGCGCCCGCCGTCGGCGCTGGCGTCCGCGCTGGCGCTGGCGACCGCCGTTGGCGCTGGCGCTGGCGCCCGCCGTTGGCGCTGGCGCCCGCCGTTGGCGCTTGCGCTGGCGCCTGCCGTCGCCTCGCTGGCACGCTCGCCACTGGCACAGCGCGACGGGGCAGGCGAAAGGGGGCAGCGCGACGGGTGCTGCGAAAGCAGCGGATTTCGAGCCAGCAGCGGATTTCGCGCTACTAGCAGTAGCAGCCATGCCAGCAGCACAATAAGTCGCCATGGCAGATCGCGGGTTTGGTGGGCCCATGAAAACGAGGTCCTAGGAGGGACCACTCTCTGATATCATGTCAGAACACGCTCTTAACTCTTGACTTAGTAACTTAGGGTTTACCTAGGAAGCGTGAGTGTCGAGAGTGAGCATGGCAAGAGAATTGGGCAAAGAGGGTCATTCACTAAGGAATGTTTACAAGTTATAGGATAGGGGAGAGGATAGGGTACACCACCAGCAGTTGAACCTAATAACTAACTAATACACTAGCAAGCTGTAGGCAGTTAGGGTATGCAATATAATTCAACACCAGAGCCCTGGGTACGCGTTTCCCGCCTAAGGTGCACGAGACGAGTCCATGTTATCACGCCACAATGCTGCCGTGTGAGGAGCACATTGGCCAATTTGAGCCCTGGCATTCAATCAATCCCCGAGAGTTACTTGTCAAAAAGTCACAGTGCAGTGGTTGCAAACAGGGCAGAGTCTCTGCTTTTGGTCATGTGGATTGAGGTGATGGGGAGGTGGTGAGCATGAAGGGAAAATATGCCATGGGTAACCAACTTGGGACTCGATAACGTGAATGGTAAAAACAAAACGCGTACGGCCACTGTATCGGGTTTCTTGACGGGTTTGGTAAGTGAGGTCACGGATTCAGTCACTAACAACATGTAAGGAATCACGCGAATGGTCACACATGTAACTCCCTGTCAAATGTAAGTGTTATGATAGGCTGCAGTGAGGCACTCCCTAGAGGGTACAACATTTGTAGGACTCCTATTTGTATGCTTGCAAACCCTAATCCCAATCATTCCGTTGCATGTAGATTCTGAGATGGTATCACGAGTAGGTATCGATCCTCCCTCCCCGCCCTAGCCGGCGCGCCCTCCGTTCCGCGCCCTCGCGCCCTCCGTAGCGCCTAGCGCCCTCCGCGCCCTCCGTCACGCCTCGCGCCCTCCGCGCCCTCCGCGCCCTCCGCGCTCCTAGCGCCCTCGCGCCCCTTAGCGCGGCCCTCAGCCCGCCCCACGTCGCGCCCCTTAGTGCGCCCCTCGGCCCGCCCCTCCGTGCCCTCCGCGCCCTCCGCACGTTCGTGCCCTCCGCGCCCTCCGCATGTTAGTACCCTCCGCGCCCTCCACGCCCTCACCGCACGCCTAGCCCGGCCCCTCCCACTGTCGCGCCCTCCCCCTGCCCGTCGCGCCCTCCCCCCTGACCGTCGCGGCCTCCCCCTGCCCGTCGCGCCCTCCCCCTGCCCGTCGCGCCCTCCCCCTCCCCGTCGCGTCGCCACCCCTCCCCTTCCCCTCCCCGTCGCGTCGCCTCCCCTCCTCCTGCCCGTCGCGTTCGCCTCCCCTCCTCCTGCCCGTCGCGTCGCCTCCCTTCCCCCTGCCCGTCGCGTCGCCTCCCCTTCCCCTCCCCGTCGCGTCGCCTCCCCTCCTCCTGCCCGTCGCGTTCGCCTCCCCTCCTCCTGCCCGTCGCGTCGCCTCCCTTCCCCCTGCCCGTCGCGTCGCCTCCCCTCCTCCTGCCTGTCGCGTCGCCTCCCCTCCTCCTGCCCGTCGCGTTCGCCTCCCCTTCCCCTGCCCGTCGCATCGCCTCCCTTCCCCCTGCCCGTCGCGTCGCCCTCCCCTCCCAATCCCGTCGCCCTCCCTTGCCCGTCGCGTCAACCTCCCCTCCCCGCCCATTTCCCACCGTCAGATCCTCCTCCCGCCCATTTTCACCGTCGCATTCGGCCTCCCCGCCCCTCTCTCACTGTTCATCACCTTAGCCCCACCACCGCCTTGTGCGCGGGGCCCTCCCCAGCTCTGCTGACACTGGTCTATCCCTCAGCGGCTGGCAGCCGCTCTCTCTCGCCGGTCACCTAGGTTAGAGCCGTTTTAGCCGCTCATACCTCGCTCCTCGCACCTGTAGCTGGCGATCCACGATTTCACGCCTAGTCTAGGTCGCTCGGTACTCCTAGTCTCTCGCTCCGCCGCTTTCTCTCCTGGCGCTCCGTAGTTTTCCTCCTCGTTCTTAGCTCCGCCTCCGCCGTGCTCCAGCCGCCTCTAGC